CTGCCCTCAGCATCTTTGGCAAGGGGAGGATTTAACGGGGAAGGAAGGAAGGACACTGGATCTCATAAACAGAAGAGGAGAAAAGGGAGACACACGGATAACTTTTGGGGAGAGAAATGGAGTGCAAATTTGATGGGGATATAGCCTGGCCAATAGGAGCAGTTGTTTAGCCTTGCAACATTGCATAAAATAGTCCTTCAACACAACTCTTGCAAAAGATGTGAAGTGATTCATAGTGGGAACAATTAACTGCAACCCCAGAATTTCAACAGCAGGTTTAAGCTTGCAGCCTGACATCTGTCTCTAGGTCTAATCTCCTAGTGAGCTGGGTGTAGGCTCCCATTACACCGTGGATCTAGCCAAGGAAGTCAGTGGAGCTGAGGAAGCACTTCAGATGCCTAAACGTAGGTGTGCGCTGGTTGGGAGACTCCAGCAGCTCCAGGGATCCCACTGCTCTCCAGTGACTATGGGAAGAGGTCAGACACTCAGCTCACCCAGAGACACTGGAAAGTAAATGTCTTCCTCCATCATTTCAGTTCCACCCTGGATGTCAGTAACCAGAAGGCTGCATTTTGAAATCAAATGATGACCTCTGGAGAGGCAGAGTTCCTTGTTTCAAGATCAGTTTGATCATTGAAGCAACAGAGGTTAAACCAGAAACAACCAGTAAGAAAGAGAGGAAAAAAAAAAAAAAAAAAACCATGTTCTCAGCAGAATGGTGGCGGAGGTGTTCTGTGTTGTTACGGTCACATTTTGACAAGATAAAAAAGAGCGGTGGATACTGTAAATATTGGCTTTGTATCATCCCATAGTGAGAGCATGGCCTTCAATAGAATAGCTCTGTTAGCTATTAGCCACTTTTGATTAACTAGTGTAGCTTTAAAGTTCAAGGTTATTGGTTGGTTGGCCTTTACTTAAAAGATGCTCTTCATCCCAAACACTGTTAAACCTTAGCTGGGCCTTTTCTAGCCTGGAAACCAATCAAACATGGGGTTTGACTAGAAATGTGCAAATAAAATTAATAATTAACAAGACAATCCTTGCTGAACTGGTAGGACCTACCAATAACTATTGGTAGGACAGAGAAGGGTCTTGATTTGGTCTAGAAGAGTGGATTTGTTTTTGCTGCAGTTATTTCTCTTGCCAGCATTCCTAAAGCATGTTTTCAAAATGATGAGGCTGGGACTTCTTTGTTTAAAAGACACCAGAATAAATATTCAGCTGATGATCTGATACGGACTTCACTCAATGGATCTGATCATGAGGGAATGAGGAAAGTCCATCTGCTTCAATTAGTTATCTGGGTGAAGACTATTCCACATAAAGGTAATAACAAGTAACAAAGAAATTGCTAACTTAAACACAGAGATACATAAACACTAAGGAGCAAGTGATAATGGAGATGGTAACGAAGACCAAATCCCTTCAGCCCCTGAGTGATGGACCATTGAGGAACTTCCCCCGCGCCACTGTGAGGAGGGTCAGCCCAAACTCTGCAAGGGAGGACACAGGACTAATATGGTTATTATGGGATACCTGTGGGTGGCCTGCAGGACTGTGCAAAACTTATGGGATGCTTAGGGGAAGAGCCAAAGGAGGAGAGAGCAGAGCGGAGGAATCATGGAAGAGCGAGTGTGAGGAAATGGAGAAGAGGAAGCAACAAAAGGAGCCGGTCACGTGGAAGCAGCCACCGGTCAGCACACTTGTCTGAGCCCTGCACCTGATCACCACAGTCTAGCCCATCTCGTTATTAAATCCTATTTCTTAACTATCTTTCTGTGTAATGTCACACTCTGTCCTACAGGTGTGTGCTGCGAGGTCTTGGTGCCAGCAACTGGAGTGGGGCTGGGGGTCAGCACCTGGTATGTGTATGTGTGAGAGGTCTAAATCCCACCAACTAGAAAGACTGAGGTGTGTTCATTCCTCTCTGGTGACTTCAATCCTGTGCGTGTGTGCGCACATGTATTTGTAATTCACTAGCAAACTTCAAGCCGGACTAACCGGCAAGTAGGAAAAGACCCGCATCTGGAACGAGCTGAGGTCTGAGCCAGAGGTGGGAAGAGAGCCCAGGGGCCAGATGTGGATATTAGATGGAGTGGGGGGGCCTGTGCTGATATTTGAGGGACCCGCGATTGTGTCGGTGCCTGAGAGACAAGTGGGTGATTGCATGCATCTGTTGGCTAGCGAGCATCAGGAGGACTAGCTGGTGAGTGGGAGACCTGCACACCAGGTAAGGAGGCCCAGGATCTGGGAATGGACGCTAACTGGACTTACAGGCCATGCTCATAGTGGAGGGATCCATGAATGTGGGTGTGCTTGTAAATCCAGAGAGCGAGTGTGTATGTGTTTTTACTAATGAATTTCCATCCTGATCAGCTGGAGAGGAGGAAGGGGTTTCAGCTGTCTATACCGATGCATTAGGTGAGTTCTGGTAGTGTTATATATGGGGGCTGTTAAAGGCAGCTCTGTCTGTGGCAGCTTGTATGGCCATGTTAGTGTCGTGTGTGTGTGTGTGTGCACACACCTCTCTGGGATACATGCTCCTGGCAAGCCTTGCAGAATCACAGAATGGCCAAGGTTGGAAGGGACCTCTGGAGATCGTCTAGTCCAACCCCCCCTCTCAAGCAGGGTCCTCTAGAGCACATTGCCCAGGATCGTGTCCAGGCGGGTTTTGAATATCTCCAGAGAAGGAGACTCCACCACCTCTCCGGGCAACCTATGCCAGTGCTCTGTCACCCTCACAGGGAAAAAGTTTCTTCTCATGTTCAGATGGAACTTCCTGTGGTTCAGTTTCTGCCCATTGCCTCTTGTCCTGTCACGGGCACCACGGAGAAGAGGCTGGCCTCATCCTCTTGACACTCTCTCTTCAGATACTTGTACACATGGATGAGATCACCTCCCAGCCTTCTCTTCCCCAGGCTAAACAGGCCCAGCTCTCTCAACCTTTCTTCAGAGGAGAGATGCTCCAGTCCCCTCACCACCTTTGTAGCCCTCCGCTGGACTCTCTCCAGGAGTGCCATGTCTCTCTTGGACTGGGGAGCCCAGAACTGGACACACTACTCCAGGGGAGGCCTCACCAGGGCTGAGCAGAGGGGCAGGATCACCTCCCTCCACCTGCTGGCAACACTCCTCCCAATGCAGCCCAGGAGACCATTGGCCTTCTTGGCCACAAGGGCACACTGCTGGCTCAGGGTTAACTTGTCCACCAGGACTCCCAGGTCCTTCTCTGCAGAGCTGCTTTCCAGCAGGTCAACCCCCCAGCCTGTCCTGCTGCCTGGGGTTCTTCCTCCCTAGGTGCAGGGCCCTGCACTTGCCTATGTTGACTCCAGGTCACTGATGAATACATTGAACAAGACTGGACTCAGGACTGACCCCTGGGGGACACCGCTAGCTCGAGGCCTCCAACTAGACTCTGCACCACTGACCACAACCCTCTGAGCTTGGCCATCCAGCCAGTTCTCCATCCACCTCACTCTCCACTCATCCAACCCACACTTCCTGAGCTTGCCTGGGAGGATGGGATGGCAGACAGCGTCCAAAGCCCTGATGAAGGCCAGGGAGACAACAGCCACTGCTCTGCCCTCATCTCCCCAGCCAGACACTCCATCCAGAGAAGGCTATCAGATTGGTCAAGCACGATTTCCCTTTGGTGAATCTGTGCTGACTGCTCCTGATCCCCTTCTTGTCCTCCCCGTGCTTGGAGATGACCTCCCGGATGAGCTGCTCCATGGCCTTTCCAGGGCTGGAGGGGAGGCTGACAGGCCTGTAGTTCCCTCAGTCCTCCTCCTTGCCCTTTTGGAAGACAGGGGTGACACTGGCTTTCTTCCAGTCCTCAGGCACCTCTCCTGTTCTCCATGTGCTTTCAAAGATGCAAATGAGAGCAGCAGCAGCTTCACCAGGGGAGGCCATGCGGGCTGGTGGGAGCCTCTGCATGAGCCTGCTACACTGCACAAAGTGCCCACAAAATACATTTCTAGGTAGGCGAGTGGCTGCAGAGCTGCCCATCCTGCTAAATTGATGGAGGACAGTCAGGCACATTTGTCATAGGGGTGGGAAAGAGGACCCTGGAATGGGTGGGCCATGGTGCATTCAAAGGAGCCCTCCTAGGAGACACCTTGCCCACAGCGTAGCAGGTCACAGCATGGTCCTGCACAGCAGAAGGCATGCGTAGCATTGGTTCAGGGCACAAATTGCCATTACCGAGCATGGAATGGGAAGGGGGGCTAGTTTTCAGCCTGGAGGGCTCCCCAGTCCATCTCAGAAAAGCTGGTGCTGGCAGAGAGACTCCGCAATAACAAGGGTCTGGAAGGCAATGGGGGTCAGGAGAGTCCTGCTTGGTGGCAGTCCAGATTTACACCTGACTGCAGCGATGATGCTACTTTGGACCGAGATATCTGGTTTATTGGCCAATCTCTGTTGTCTCTGCCTTTCATGGAGACCTTGACCTGCCTGATATTCACTGTGATCTGTTTCTGCCACAGAAATGAGGTGTTTTTTTTTTTTTTTTTTTTTTTTCTGGCCAGACAAATTTGAAGCCTGATGGTGATACACTGGCTATTTAAAAGATCACTCTGTAGAACCGTATTCTAAAGTGAACCAGAGGCCTTACCTCTATCAAAGCCACAATTTGTGCTTTAGCAGGGACCCCTCAGATAAATAATTTGCTCTACACCTCCCTGAGACAGGCTATACGTGCAGCCTAATACACTTAAGTTAAGTTTCAGTGGTGGCTAAAATCTTAACTAGAAGGGAAGGACCCCAACAAAGTCTGGAGGACACTGGAGGCAGCAGACACAGAAAAGCAGAAGGAAAATGGAAGAAGGAAACAAGCAGAAGGAAAAACCTGAGGGGCACAAAAAGGCAGGGGCTGGGGACCTGAGAGTTTTGGGTAAAACAGATGAGGAAGAGCTACGGATTGAAGAAAAAGCAGTAGGACAGCTGGGAGGAAAGGAGAGGTACCGGGGGAGAGAAGACAAAATCATCAGCTTCAGAGTTGGTCACCTGCTTTGCCAAGGAGAGCAGCACTGTAGGCTCTGTTACGGAGGTGGCATCCTCCCTGTCACCTGCATTGGCCACTCTGGTCCCCGTTCATCCCTTCAGGCTCCTCCGAGCTCCTCTCCCAGCCTGCGAGGGAGGAGATCTACCTTGCTTGACACACTAGAGATCGCGTCAGTGCATGTTCCCTGTTGCTGAATACACACCAGCCCCTCTGGGATGTCTCCAAAAATCCTCCTTCAATGGTATCCTACTGCTCCCCAACCTGCAGCAGCACTACGGACACCAGAGTTGCCTCCATCCTCCTGCTGAGAGCTCAGGGGTGAAGTATTTGGCTGACGGTCCGTGTGTGTCTGGCAGACTGTTTGTGCGGCTGCCAAGAAAGCTGGAGAAAAGAGGGGAGAAAAAGCTGCTCTGGATCATAAAAAGGGTTAAGGAGAAAAGTAATTTTGGCTGAATTGGGGCTCCTGGCTGATGCAGCCTAATGCAGCTGAGGCCTGCAGCTCCCCAGGGCACAGGGCTGGACGGGAAGGTGAAGGTATGGGCTGTGTGTGTCCCAGCGTGCCGTCCCGGGTACTGGCCCTCTAACCCTCACAGGGTAACTGGGGACACATCTTCATCACGGGAGGGAAATCCCCTGCAGCCAGCACGGGCTGGGGAAAGGAGGGCAGGGGACATGGAGTTGGGGCAGCTAAAATCCAAGCTAGCAAGGAAGGAGCCCAGAAAAGTCGGGGGGCGGGTGGGAACGGGAAGCAGGAGAGACCGAAAAGCACAGGGAAGATGGGTAAAAGCACAGGGCATGGGGTGGATGGGGGCTGCAGAGCAGAGAGCGAGGAGGAAGGCAGAGGGACGCCACTAGGGCCAAGATGCCCGCGGAGAAGACCAAGCGCGGGGAGCGCAAGTGAGAGATCGGGGATGGGAGGGCGCCAGGACTGCGAGGGCAGAGCTGGGTCTGTGATTGATTTAAACCCTCATCACCCTCGGGGTAAATGAACCTGTGCTGCTTTGCCCTTGTACAGATTAGCAGTGCTTGTGCAGCCAAGAGCGCACTTACAGGGCACTGGGTTTTGGAGAACCTCAAAACGTTGGAGATCTTTCCTTCTCTTGGCTTTTGAGACGAAATCAGTTCAGCTTTAACCCCTCTTGCTCTCTCCTGAACGCACTGACAGCACCATTTCCAACATCTCAGTCTCTTATTCGGTTAGCAGCCCATAGCCTGCTGTTAAAAGCAGCAATCATCGAGTGACATTCTCTGACCTCCCTTATTTTTTTTTCCAAAGAGGAAAGGCTCAGTGCAGGTGCAGCTTTTAGCCTCGACAAAGTAATTTGTTTAAGTTCCCGCAAAGCACATGCTGAAACCCATCAACAGCCCAGTCACTCTGACTTGGTTATAACATACCTTTCACCTGATTGTACCTGCCCTTTCCACAGTCATAAATATCTGTCTTCGGTTAAAAGGAAAGGGAGATATAAGCGGCAGAGCTTGGCAGGGGCAGGGTAAATAATTGCCACCAATAGGGACTGAGGTTGTCAGCTGTGACATCGGCTTATTAGTGATCAGATGTGAATAAAGAGCCCTCTCCAGCCTCAGCCTGGGTCAGAACCCTGGATGGGTGCAGAGCTCTCATGGCTCTCTGGGTAACTCTTCTTTGTACCCTGGTAGCATCACTGCTTGGTGGGCTCTACTTCCTGGGAGTGTTTCGAAGAAGGAGACCCAATGAGCCCCCTCTGGACAAGGGTCTCATCCCGTGGCTGGGTTATGCACTGGATTTCAGAAAGGACAGTTCAGAGTTTCTAAAGAGAATGCAGAGAAAACATGGGGATATTTTCACAGTGGTGATTGGAGGCTATTATTTCACCTTCGTGATGGACCCCTTTTGCTTTGGTGCCATTGTGAAGGAATCGCGATCCAAACTAGACTTTGAGAAGTTCGCATCTGAACTGGTCCTCCGGGTTTTTGGATACCAGCCCATTGAAGCCAGCCACAAGATTATTCAGCTATCAAGCACGAAGCATCTGATGGGAGATGGACTTATTGTCATGACACAAGCGATGATGGAGAACTTGCAGAAGTTGATGCTTTACAAGATGAGCTCAGGAGAAGGGGAGCAAATGTGGCAAGAGGACAGTCTCTTCAACTACTGCTACAACATCATCTTCAGAGCTGGGTACCTGGCTTTGTATGGCAGCGAGCCACACCAAAGGGCGGGAAACAAGGAGAAAGCTAATGAGTACGATCGTGTCCACTCCAATGAGTTGTTCTATGAATTTCGGAAGTACGATCGCCTCTTTCCTCGCCTGGCCTATGCCGTGTTGCCTCCCAAAGACAAAATTGAAGCTGAACGGCTCAAGAGGCTCTTCTGGAGCATGCTGTCTGTGAAGAAGAGCCGACAGAAGGACAATATCAGTGGGTGGGTAAGTGACCAAGAGCAGGCTCTGGCAGAAAACGGTGTCCCTGAGTACATGAGGGACCGTTTCATGTTTCTGCTCCTGTGGGCATCCCAAGGCAATACTGGCCCAGCTGCCTTCTGGCTCCTCTTTTATCTAATGAAACATCCAGAAGCTATGAAGGCTGTGAAGGAGGAAGTGGATAAAGTCTCAAGGGAGAGCGGCCAGGAAGTGAAGCAAGGTAGCCCACCAATTAACGTCACTAAGGACATGTTAAACCAGACTCCTGTTCTGGACAGCGCGCTGGAGGAGACCCTGCGGCTGGCAGCAGCCCCAATCCTTATCAGAGCCGTCCTGCAGGACATGAACCTCAAGACGAGCAACGGGACAGAGTACACTCTCCGCAAAGGAGACAGGGTGGCTTTGTTCCCACATGCCTCTGTGCAGATGGACCCAGAAATCCATCCCGAGCCTCACCAATTTAAATATGACCGGTTCCTAAACCCAGACGGCACCAAGAAAGATTTCTACAAGAATGGGAAAAAGCTGAAATACTTTAACATGCCTTGGGGAGCAGGGGTATCCATCTGTCCTGGGCGGTTCTTCGCGACCAATGAAATGAAACTGTTTGTGTTCTTGATGCTGACTTACTATGACTTGGAGCTGGTTAATGCAGAAGAGGAGATCCCGCCAATAGACATCAGCCGCTGGGGATTTGGAACAATGCAGCCTATTCATGACGTTCGGTTCAGATACCGGCTGCGCTTTTAATTTGAAAAGCCTCGTTACGTTGGGCCTCCTGGCTTGTTTTGCAGTTGTCAGTGAAATACACTGCATGCAACTCCTCCCACAGGTACTGGATCCATGCAGACCCCTTCCACAAGAGCGAATGCTGATATGATTTCACTTGTTTACCAGTTATTGTGGCTTTACTCTTTATTTTCTTTGCATGTATCGCTGCTCTGTGTCTATGGTTATTGCATTGTTTTTACTTTAGTTTGACCTTGGGACTGTGTTATTTTGTTATCAGACACTTAACAATGTACTGAAATGAAATGAAGCAAGCAGAGATCCTAGCATATTTTCCACATGAAGCATACTGGCAGCAGAATAGCATCAGCCCACACACTTGGGATTTGTCTCCTGCTTCATCGCTTTTCCCCTTGTTAATCTGAAATGTCTGACTGCGTTCAGAAAGCCACTGAAAGGTCAGAGAACAATAAATTTGCTCTCCGCAGATGTAAGGGTTTCATCGTGGGTTTAGCACCATCTTGCCTGCAATGTCCTTTTCGCATCAGATTAAAACGTGTTCCCCTGATGGCCCCAGACAGATGCTCCTCAGAGCAGAGGTAGGACCTCTGCTGACTGATCACAGACACCCCACCAACACATAACCCTCCCTCTACTCACGCTTAAGAAAAGGAAAGATCTTGCTGGTCTCATTTGCCACATTACTGGGAGGAAAAAGGAGTTGCAAACATCAGTTATAACCTAAGGTACCATGTTCATGTATCTACATGACTTAAGAACTGGACAACAGCCTTTCCAGGGCTGCCAGCAGGTGCGTGTTCAAGCCCTGTGTCTTGTGCACAGCTCCTGGCGATAAAAAGGGTATCCACATCTGTGTGGTGTGTGTGTGTGTGTTGGGATTCATCCCGCCTGCTCTAACGTGGCTGGAGCGTGGCTACGTACAGCTGGGTTAGTTCCTCCGCGGCACCGAACCAAATCACTGGTTCAATTCAAATTGTTGAACAAGTCCAGAAATGTCTGAGTCTGCAAGCCGGCCAGGAGCAGGTCTGCCCTCCTGCAAGAGGAAAGAGAATGTAGCTAAAACTAAATTTTATTTTATCGATTTTATTTTATCATCTAGGGCCAGCTTTTAACTAGCAGCGATGTGCTACCCTCCTTCCCCTCCCTTTCCTTTGATGTGGGCCCCAGGGCCCCCCACAGCCCCTCACCCCCAATGCCTGGGCCCCAACCTTGCCTACAGCGCCCCAGGTCTGATGCCTGAGCCTTCACCCACTCCCCACACGTGGCTCATGCCAAAGCCTGAGGATGGGCCAGGACCTTGCCAATCCCCCACCCATTATCTTGAGCCCCGTGGGCCAGTGGTGTTACCAAGGGGTAAAGTATTTGGCAAGGGCCTCCCTCTTGCCAAATTGAGCGCCCGTCGTCTTTCCAGCCCTGCCTGGGGAAGGTGGTGGCAAGAGCAGTCACTGAGTTCATCCCAAGGCTTTTGGGCTACCTGGGACAGCAGAGGACACCAGTGCGTGCTGTCCCTGCTTCGCGTCGTACCCTCTCTCCCCCAGCACGCTCCAGGAGCAGAGCAGTCTGCAAAGGCTTGGCGGGGGGGACTATGGCGGTCAAGGGGTGGTGGCAAAGGTGGAGGGGAGAAGACAGCACTGGGGCAGGAGAGAGGACCTTGACAACCTCAATCCCCCCGGGGGTTGCAGCCACAGCTACCTGTTGGGCCCCAAAACATCCCGGCTTCATGCACCTCTGGTATCCCACCTTCATGCCAGTCCAATACAAGATAAAATTTTGCCCAGCAAACCTTGCTTTGCTTTTTTCTTTCAGCGGTCAAGGCTGTCACCAGCAGCCCTTACAAGAATTAAAGCACAGCCTTGCCTGGGGACAGTGGATTGATTTTACCCCGATGCTAACCTTGGACTTTGGCAATTACATATGACCAAGGAACCCAGCTCAAACATTTTCAGGTGTGTCAAAACATCAAAGCCAAATTTGGCTCTGCTCTCCAGAGGGCAGAGTTATGTTGTAACTGCATCTCTAGGGCAAACTACAGACCTTACAGAGTTGCAAAATTTGGAGAGAAACTGTCAAGCGCTTGGGGCAGAACTAAGATAGATAAAAATGCCTCTTATCTCAGTAGAGTCAGACCCTGAAGCTAACGCTTTTATCTGAAAAACTGGCCTGATGCTCTCATAGAAATGAGCTTCCTTGGATGGTGCCTGGTCCCAGCGCTACCCTGGAAAGAAAAAAGAAGAAAACGTCTGTGTTTCAGTGCTTTACAATCTCAGCTTGACTTCAACGGGAAAAGGAAAAATGGTGCATGGGAAAGGAATAGGACTCTGGCAAAGCAGGGTTAATCGGAGGGGACGGTGCTGGGAAGGGAAAATTCCTCATTACATTTTTTTTCTGTTACACAGGGAAGCTCCCCTTTCAGAATATGTGTTTCTAAGCAAACCAAGTGAGTCGCGTGCCTCGCGCTGTAGCACCCATCCAGTTACGCCGAGCAGGAGGCAGAAAGCACAGCCGTTCGTGCAAGGCAGTAACCAGCGCAGAAGTTGGCTGGCTGCGATGCCTTCTGCCACTCCTGCCATCTTCAAGCATCATTTAGTGGATGTCCTTCCTTTGGCATTATCTTCAGAGTCTGTTGTGGAGAAAACAGGAGAATTAGATAGGGAGAAGGAAAGCGTAAGAAAGGAGTGACAGCAAGAACCTAGGGGAGACTGGAAGCACCTTCTGGTCTTGTTGAGGGTTCTTCAGACCCCCAGAACTCCTGTAGACCTGCCCTCACGCGAAGTGGGCAGAGGTATCGACAGAAGTATCGTTCTGCCATTCAGGGACACGTCCCCAGCGTTCGAGCCAGCTCACCAACCTCTCCCACCACTCCACATCGCTCAGCCATCAGTGCTGGCTGCATCCAGACTGCTCCAGCCTCTTACTCACCGGGAGACACACACGGGAGCCCCATATGGGTCCCAGTTATGTAGGGGAGGCCAAATGACACCCCACCCCAAGGCATGCTTTAGTGAGAGGATTTTTTTTGTGTGGATGACTTGCATGAGGGTCATCACAAACAGCTAACGCACAGTGTATATATGCTGGTATTGCTTGCATGGCATAGGGTCTCTGTTAGCCCGGATCAGGGGTGTGTTGGATAGGTCCTGAGCAAACACAGGCTGGGTTTGGGAAATAAAGGCAACATAAAATATGCATTTTCCTTAGACATATTCCCTGTGAGGGTGCATTAGCAGTGCACAGCTGGGCCTTCCCCTCCTGGCAGCTCCCTGGGGTAAGGGCGCGAGAGGTGGTCCGGAGCAGGGCGATGACCTGAAGGACTCAGGGAGCTCCAACACCGCGGCAACGCGGGAACATTTAGATTGCTGCTCTAAAGAGAACCTTTTAAACACTGTAAAGAGAACTACCCCGACACCTTTGGCAGTGGTATCCAGAGCTATTCTCTATTTCTAATGAGGCAGGAGCTATTTCTGGGCCATTCAGAAGCTACATAGTGAGGGTGCAGTTTCACACCCCCAAAGTCTCCAGGTGCTACAGAGCTATATAGTACAATAATATTGTGGAAGGATATAAAAATAATGACAACGACAATGGTTCAGCAGAAAAATATGGCTTCTTCTTCAGAATGGTTTATTTAGCATTATTTAACAAAACAATATTGAGCCTATAAAAGGCTTCAGACATGCTCAAATGCATGCAAATGTGAAAAGCAAAAAAAAACCTCCCTTAATTTGAGTCATACAAGAAAGAGGAGTGACAAAGCTCCAGGTGAGTTAATCTGCAACCAAAGTTTTATGCTTAGATAGGTTGTCTCCTGGCACTGAGCTTTCCATCCCAAAGGGCTCCAGCAAGAGTAAAGATCAAGACTGTGCCAACAGAAACCTCCTTGGATTTGTAAAAATAAGTTAAATTGGAAGGAATCCAGGGTCCTGAAAAGTTTAATGGGCCAGATCTCAAAACAGTGTCTGTCTCCCATAAAGCCTCTGCCCTCCAAGAGAATCGGGCATGGAATCTGGCCCTAAAACCTTTGGTTTCCTCTTCTTTTGTGCATCATGAAGACAAGATAACTTTGACATTCAAAGCTTCAGTCTATCGAATCCGTGTCTGCTCTGCCCAGCACAGTGAAACCTCCTCTGCTCTCAGTCACCCTTCCTATACCGTACCAGAGAAGGAATCATAATGCTCTAAGCTTTAGGTTTCGACCAACATGGGTTGAATGCGATGGAAAAAGCTGCCGCTGCTAACAGTGTCACTTCTACATGACGATATTAAATTCTCATACGTTAGGAACTGATTTCCTGTTCGCATCCCTCTAAACAGCCAGCTACTGCTCTGAGAAAGCATCCTATCACATGCTGCTTGTAAGGAAAACTCAAGAAACTCAGCAGAACCAATAGATACATCTTTCACTTCACAGAAACTCAAAGGAACACTGAGGTTATAAAGCACAAAGAAACTGCACAGCTGATACCATCCACGGTAGAGGAAAGCAATGCCCAGCAGCTTCTGAAGAACAGAGAGGTACGTGCAACGTCAGGATGCTTTGGATTTTATGAAGAATTAAAACATACAGCATTTGCCAACGGCACTGTTTTCACATCGCTTGAAAGGCGTGCCTGTACGCTCCCCAGAAAATAGCAGCTGCACTTTGAACTGCCAGTGTCTATCAGCAATAAAACTTCTGCGCTTAATAAGGTCACGGTCATCATGGTGTCTGATGCTTTTACTGCTGCGTAATTACATTTAAAGCCATCCGAAGCGAAAGCACGGTCTAGCCCACTTTGCTTCAACGCACTGCTCTCACAGCCTGCAACCACCTTGGATGTCCCCCCCAGGCTCCAGGAATCGCAGGATCTAAAACTGAGACTTACAGGGAGAGTGACGTATAAGTTTCTCCGTGGCACATTTTGGCCTGCAAAGCTGAGAATGGTACTAACTACGTGATTATTTGAGCGCGATTGCTGGTCAGCCCCAGCCCCAATTTCTCGTTCCTTGCGTTGGTAGAAGGGTTGCTGTCTATGCTATAGCAGAGCAAGTATGTGCTGTCCACACACAGCCAGAACGACCAGCAACATGAACCACCTAGACCACGCGGTCAAAGCAGGCTTCTACCCTGAGGTCTTCCGTTCACTTAACAACAATACGCTTGCTGTGCTGAAAATTTATAATGCTCTAGGTCATTACTGTAGTACAGAGGGGCTTTTAACATGCAGGCATTTACCAAAACGACTCTATGTTGATCCCGGCTTTGCCACATCTTCCACAAGCCTGGGAACAGGCCTTAGCCCTGTGGCCAAGCTCCTTCCACCAAGTCACACCCTATGTGGGAATATCCTGTGGCAGGCTGAACGCACAGATACGAAACAGTGCAACAGAGCTTTTTCTATGGGGAGCCAAGCAAGGCAGGGACTTCACAGCAGTGACCCCCTCACACACTGCTTTCCAGGCTGGGCAGCTGCCTAACAGCCTTGGATGTGCTCAGCAAGGGCTTGCTGCACAGGCCTATTTTAGCCCTGCTTGTGAGGAAGCCCATGCAACTAAAATTCTCTATTTGCCTCCTTTGGGAACGTCTTTCCTAGAGTAGCCCATACACCAAGTCACAGCTTGGCGAAGCTGTTTTTTCACAGGTTTGTACGTTTGCTCTTTAACACATGTCTAAGATGAGCCGCAGATAAAGTTAAGCCGGGAAGCAGGGGGATTGCTTTAAGATTTCATGCGACAGGTAAGCCTACATCAAGGTCTAGTGGGAGACTTCAAATACCTGTCCAAAATAAAGCAAAGCTTTGTGGTCTTACAAACCATGACGGTTGGGTACCCATGGAGAACAGTGACTCTGCTCAAAGCCAAGCAAGCTATCGCCACTTGCAAGATTAGGATAAGGAAGAGATGTAACTCACCCATAACTCGAAAGCCACCACCTACAGTAACACTGTCATGCACATAACACATAATTGTACCTTCCTTTGCAGCTTCTCTGCAGCTAGAAGTATTCTCCTCTAGCTTGGGTGGCAAAACCTTGTGTTTAATCCGGGGCCAGGCCCTGTGAGGATGGCACTGTCTGGTCAGGTACTTGGCCAGGCAAGCAACACGCTGAGCCCAACTGCCCAGGCATGCTGGTGGAGTCCCACCGCTGCAGCCTTGCGTCTAGTACTTGGTAAATACGTAGGATCACAGGATAAGTCAGGATGAAAGTGACCTCAGGAGGTCTCCAGTCCAATCTTTTACTCAAAGCAGGGTCAGCAATCGGCTCAGATCAAGTTGTTCAGAGCTTTATCCAGCTGGGCCTTTACACCTAAAGCCCTTAGATACACTGCTATTCACCATCAGCTCAAAAAGAGGCAGGTGCTGCACTTTGTACTATTTCCCCACGGTGAATCTTTCTGACATATTTACTTTGATTTCATCCTATAGTCTCATTATCACCTTCTCTTCCTTCTCCTTGCCTCAGGGCTATTTTCCGATCATAACTGTTTATTGAATTCTTTCAGATTTGAGGCAGGTGAGAAAACCCATCTGTCTCTCCAGCCTTGCTGCAGTTGTTACTGTGGGATGAGCCGTACAGTAATATTTGAAAGGGTGCCTGGTGTTTTATCCTGAGACTAAGGGGCAGGAGTCTCTGTGTTTGCATACATGGAGTTTTTCTGACTTCAGGGAAGGATTTGCAAAGCTACACAGGCAAGGTAGCTAGTCCCATTCAGAACTGGCTAGACAAATCTGTCGTGGTTATTCCAGGAAGCTCGGAGCCAAGTGACACACCTACCGTCAAGTTACAATTAGTCAGATGAGCCATTTTAACGGTCCATGCATCCATTCTTACCCTGTGGCAAATGCAAGCAACGTGAATGAGATTTGCTCACAGGTATGCTAAGCTGCATTCGCAGAGAGCTAAGTGCACAACTCTAGGCAGTTACGCTAACTCAGCTGATGCACAGTAACTTGACAGTATCCTTTGGGAGTAAACACTAAAGGCAGAAGTGGGGAGGGAGACAATTCACCGCTGTCTTCTCATCCACTTCACTGTGCAATCATCAGGCCATACTTGGAGCACAGCAGGCCCCTTTTCTTTTCCCGTTCCACGAGGAAATTCCTCAGTTTGGTGGTGGGAAAGGTAACCAGCGCTTGCTGTCTGTTGTCCAAACCTGTCTCTTGGAGCCACGGGCTCTGAAGGCACTCTGAGGCTGACGGCCTTCCCCTAGGACAGAAAAATGTGAGAACATCAGTCAAGAAGCCATGCTGGGTGAGGAAGCTCCTAGGAAATGGAGAGAAAAAAGGGACAATAACCAGGATCTGCATAAACTGTCCTGTTGGGAAAGGAGATACTGCCTTACCAGGGATTTGCACACAGTGTGCCCTGGAGAAATGACACTGCCCCTCCAGAAAGACCAGCATAGCACCGCGTGAGCTTCACTTTCCCCTTCCTGGTCGTTCTCAGAAACTCGCAGGCTATGTCAGAGCTGACGGGGTAGTTGGCGCTCAACCTAACCCAAAAGAAGAACTGGTCAGCATGAAAGGCCACTCGAAAGATCCTTCCGCTCCCAGGAATTCCCACCCAGCAGTGAGAGGAAGGCCATGCAGCGTTCTTCACTAGGTTTTATGACTTTGGCTGTTTTTCCATTTGGCATAATTCAAATTTTCCTGGTGAAGTTGGGGTTTTTGAAATAAAGCTGAGTGAGAAATACAAGCAGCTGCTGTGTCGCAAAACAGCCTCCTTACTTAGAGTAAAGGAGCCATATAGGCAGCCTGCTGCTCCATCTGGAGACATCTCTGGGCTTGGGGCATCCTGGCATGGGGCAGGCAGCTGCACAGCCTCCATCACACAGCCTTCTGTGGCATTGCCAAGGAGAAAAAACATAACTGAAGTCGAAGTAACTAGTCAATGCATCACCCGTGGTTGATGACTCTGAAATTGCACTTTTGCAAAGGCTCCTGTGTCAGGGAATGAGAGATCGACTTACATGATGAATGCCGTGATTCCGATGGACCAGACGTCAGTCTGAGGGAGAGCTCCCTGCTCTGTCAACAGTTCTGGAGCTAGAAAAGCAAAAGTGAGTGAGCCAAGCTCTGTTCCACACTACAGCGCTACAACCAGCACAAAAGCAGTGGGTACTTTTATACTTTGCCATGTTCCCAAAGGATGAAGAAAAAAAAAAAACATCCAGCACAGGGAGATGCTTGAGGAAAGATGCCTCCTTGGGTCACAAAAGCAATGAAACTGTAAGAACATAAAACCCATGGGCACCTCTGAGTTCATTTCCAGGGGGCATTGTTTTTTGGGTTTCTTGCACATCCTGATCTGGAAGTTTTACTACTTCCCATTTCATGTATCACCTACATTTCCCATGCGGGATGCTGAAGGCCTGGTCTCCTTCTCACAGGTAAAAACCAGGTGTCTCTCCTCTCCTATCAAACACATGACACCAATGGGAATATGAGGGCTAGAGGATAAATATTCCTACGGATATAGCATATGTCCACAAGAGGTTTTGTGCTTTCAGGGTTCACACCCCTGATGTGAGCTCTGTAGTTTGCCAGTCGAGTCTCAGGCCTGGGTACGCTGGGCTGTCTGTGATTCCTCCCAAGCCCTACACACAGCAGCCATGCAAAGCGAGGGCAGTGGCACTACACCCATCAACTCAGGGCATGGGGATGCTAGCCAGAGCGGTGTTAGCCATGACCTCCGGCTGTGTGCCCCAGGGTCAGCAAGTGGCAAAGCTGTCACTGCCAGCCATTCCTGCAGACTCAGACTTTTACCAGAGGGCAGTACCTGGGAGACCTTGCTCACTTGGACCAGCTGCAAACTGTTGCCTTGACCAGTGGACCTGTCTGACTATTTACCATGGATTGCATGCAAGGCCAAGGTTGCTCTGACTCAACTCTGTACTTACCCATGGTTTCAACATAGTCTATGCACTTGTCCATGGTAATAACTTTGTCTTGTGTGTAGAACTGTGCATTGCCAAAATCCAGGAGTTTCAGCAGGTTGGGCTCAGTGATTATCATGTTTTCAGACCTGAGATCCAAGTGCAGGATGCTGTGCGCATGGAGGTACTCAACTGCACTGAGGATCTGCCACAGGTAATCTCGGACCTCCACTTCTGAGTAGGATGGCCTGGTAGAAGAAAGGGGATAGAAACCAGGGGTGTCCTATCTGCATACTCAAGAGGCCCAGTCTGCACCCACTCTTCCCTGGAAGTCTAAACCCATGAGGTCCTTGTGAGCCCAGTGGAAGCAACTCTATTCATTTTAGAGAATCTACTATACATGGAGAGCCTGGTCCCTACTGTGAGTCCGGTTTATGGATGCAAGAGGTAGAGGGTTGTGTGAACTGCACTACAGATAAAGCAGTAGTGTAGCGGTGCAAGGATCAAAATGCAGATTTGATGCCCACCATTTTCACTCCTTTAAGCAGAGAATTGCAACAGGGTCATTTGCAGCCATCATGAGAAACAATCTGGAGGGGAAATGAGGCTTCCTGAGCCACAATAATCTCCTTGTTATGGGAGAGAGCGCTTCACATCAGTTTAGATGTTGAAAGCATCATACAGTAGTTGGAAAACCTTGAATTGTCCTCTACCCCAACCACGTAGGGAAGTTAAGCACCTTGCTCTATCACAAGAGGTTGCAGAACAAATATACTACAAAGCCAACAATGACGGCCCACTGGAACAGAAGGAAAGAGAAAATCAAGTATGAGAAATGAAAACAGCAGCTGTTTTGCTTCACCAGCCCTGACTGGAAACCCTTCCCTCCAGGAGCTCCCCCATGTGTTATTACCGTAGTGCCAAAGAATGGAGTAGTTCCGGTCCCACGCACATCTCCTGGATCAACACCAAGTGCCGTGGGCTGACATAGGCTCCCTTGAGCTGAGCTATGTTTGTGTGATGAAGCTTCCTCAGAACTTGGTACTCCAGGAGCACAGTCTGTTTGTCCTCTTGCCAGTAAGGGATGATTTTAGCAGCTAAAGTCTTGCCGCTTACTTTTTCCCTGCACTGTCGGACTATGCTGAAACGCCCCCTGGTACAAAGCAACACAAAGGCAAGTTAAACTTCTCCTGCTATTTCTGGAAGAGCCAGGAACTTCTGCATTTTAAAAATCAACAAGATCCCATTGCGTATTTCTCATCCATGCCCTGTGTTGGGTTATTGCAACTATTGTCATAGTTGGCACTTCCTTCCTCTATCTCCAAATTGTACAGCCACTTTACATTGCAGGAGTGAGATCCTAACTCCTTTGGAAGAGAGAGAGATAACGTGGCTCATCCTGTCTAGAGCAAGAGGACTACCCCCTGAAGGTAGCTACCTCCCTCTGTTGGTGATACAAGGATCCCAGGTCCTTCTGGGCCTAGGGGCCTATCTTCTAGGCAGTGGAAGTTGAATCCCCATGACTGCAATCGATAGTTGCAAAGGATGACGCAACAAGGAGAGGAGCCTTTATTAGCGCAGGACTCGCTTAGAAGTATGTTAGGCTACCTTAGAAATGTTTTAAGGGGCTTCTTGCCCAGCATACGGTGCTCAGAACAGGCCCTTTTTTCTCTCCCTGAAAATCCACACTTGAATCCTTGTAAACTAAGATAAAGATTGCTCAGACAATGATCTCAGATTTATATGTCCAATGTCTTTGCTGCTGGAGGTGTTTTCATCAAAATACCATAATAGTAGCTGAGCAGAGCTTTTATAAAAATGACTTTTCTAGTTTTAGCTACATGCAGTATTTTGCTTTGCCTGGTTGAGCACAAAGTTCAGTTCCCTACCTTTTGATCTCTGTCTGGAAGGCATAGGTTTGGTAGGTTGGGAAAGGTTCGGACGGTGCTATTATTTCACTCTCTTCCTCAGTAGCAGTTGATGGGAAGTTCTGCAGCGTAGCATGAAACTCTGCAGAGAAAAAATGATGGGGATTACTCAGCAAGACAACTCTGTGTGGAAACTACAGCCTCTCTGAGCCATCCTCCACTATCTCTTTATGAACAAAGATAAATGCAATAGCAGAGCTTTCTCCAGGCAAGTTTGCATGTTCTCTCCCACCTGTGACACAAATCCTATTTTAATGCAACCAGATCCTGGACTGTTCACACAGAAGCTCCCTGGTGTCACCCTCTAGACCATATGAGATTGACTGTATGTTGTGTCCTATGCCCACAATATCAAAGCTCTCGTGGCAATTAGTGACTATTGATTCAGCTAGCAGTTCTCGTCTTCTCACATAACCAGTCATCACTGCACGGCAAGACACCGCCAAAGGAACAGACACCTTTTTTAGATGGGTGTTTCAGGGCATCAGCTGAAGCAAGTTGCTCTGGTCCTGGCATGTGCTTCTGAATACACCCTGGAAATATTAAAACATCCCTCGATGTTTTAATCCCTTAAAGCATCTACTTGGAAACGGTGGACACATTGGCATAAAGAAATTCGACAATAGGGCCCTTGGAGGCAACAATTGCAAAGTGATGATATGATCCTGGGCAAAAGCCAAGCAGATGATTTAAGGTAGGTAATTAACATCTCTGTATTCAAACAGGTGAGAAAACAACAGTAAATCCAGTATTCTTTACTTTGGAGACAAAATACAGAAGAAAACATCCCCCACAGTAGGAGGGCAATTTACAGCAGCAAACGCCAGATCACATCGATTAAGTATTGAGCTTATAATTGAGTTTATAACAAGGAGCAGGTCGAGGACTTCAACTAAGCATCAGACATGTATTACTAGATTAACGCCTCAGGTAACAAGTTTTTTGTCCTAGGCCTGTTTCTTCATGATCTCACATCAAAACTGAGTGGTATCTAAAGGCCTAGCAAGCAGATTATCTTCAGTGAGTGCTCTACAGTTTCTAGATGCCTTGCATAAATAGTCTCCTAATTCTTTCCCGAATTAGAAAATAATTTACTCGTGAATAAGACAGCCAAAGAGGCCAAGGCTCTAAAACACCCCGAGCCAAATGGAATTAGTCCTGATTAGCTTCCCCTTGACTTCTGAAGCTGCATTTGAAAAGGTGCAATTGTTTTGATGCAGGAAAAGCAAAATGCTTTCCAATTACCAAGTACCTTACCCATTTCATCTGTCTCACTGATCTTCACTTTGTCAGATGGGTTGCTGTAAGGACCCATTCCTGC